AGATAAAATATTAACGTACTCTTAGATACATGACTAACTCCTTATTCTCACTGTATATATTGTATTGTACTAAAACCTGGTGGCAAAAAGTATAACTTTAGTACCTGGTCGATTGGTTATATCATGGTCTCCCAGGTTATGATCAGCCGGCAGCGTAACATACGTTTCTGCATGTTCAAATTCCACCACAGTCTGACCAAGAACATCTTGGCAGGAATTTTAATCCTTTGCCGCCACGCCCCCCCCCCCCCGGTTTCAGATTTCAAATTGATATAAAAACCTAATACAACTTAAAAACTAAAATAAAACACGAGTAAAACTAAATATAATAATAATGTACAAAATGACGTGCAATATTAGCGAATACGAGTCAATACCAGCTGCCTTTTCCAAAATCCCCTCCCAAAAAAGTGTGTCCCTCCCTATAGTTTACACAAGTCTTGTCATCGGTTTTCACAGATGATGTGAATCTAATCCTACAATAATCATAGTAAGTTTGAATTATATCGTAGCTGTAACGTGTTAGGAGTAAGAATCGTCTTTCATTTCAAAAACAAAAAACACGTTACACTTGGGTCTGACCGAGTATATTTATTTGTGCGCTGAATACGGGTTTCTTTATGGAGGACACAATGTTGAAGCTGGCGTTTTTCAATTAGGTTGACAAAAACAGAGAATTAATAGACAAAAAAGTATTTTCATGAATGGATGTTTTAAATTTTACTGTCATACACTGTTCGGTAAAGTTTGTGACTGAAATCTAAAACAGCCAATAATTTACATATTAACCTAAACAAAATTAAGGTAGCATAATGTGTAAAGTTCGTATACTTTTGTTGTTCACCACTTTTTAACGGATTAAAAAAGTTTAACAAACACAGCACTGCTGTCACCTGCAGATATTTTTAATAATCAAATCTTCGCTTATAATTTAGTACAGCTTGTTTTAACATTTATTGCATAACCCCTTCAGTTGTACAGAGATGAAAGTGTCCCTTTCCTAAAAATCCTGAAAATAATCGAAGCCAAGTAAGGGGGGTCCGGCACCCAAAATCCTGCATTTTGATGCATTTTAGTACTTAAAATTCACTTAAACAAGTTACCCCATTTTTCTTACATCAATGATTATCAAATACATGTGAGAAATATCAAATCTGATTCCCCTAGTTAATTGATAATTTTCAAGAGTGCATTCTTTGGAATTCATAATTTTCGCTATTGGATGTCAAAACTTATATAAAGTAATGCTT